AGTCGCCTGATTCTTCATCCAAGAATGAGGATATATTCTTTCAGCAAAGAGCTAGGCAACTCAGGAAACTCATAGGAAGAAGAAATTCTTGGACAGTCAGGAGGGGATTTCTTTTTTAGAGAGCAGGTAACAAATATATCTTAGAAGACTGACAACAAATTTCTCACAGGAAAACAAGAATGAAGTTATGTCCATCAGTTTTTAGGAGCAGTGGGAAGCATGGTGGGAAGAGTTCAAATTTTAGAACCAAGGCTAGGAGTCAAACTCGGGCTCTCTAACCAGCTGGGCAGGCATAGACAAATGCTCTCTCTGAGCCCTACTTTCTTCATCTGTAAAATGGAGATACATTTTGTGAGGTTTTATTAATGGGGCCCTGATTTCCAACCCCTCTCCCAATTTCTCTCACCTCAACACCTTTTCTTCAGGTTAAAGAACAGGAAACCCTGGGGGAGCAGAGGTTAAAGGGCAACCCTTCAGGAGCTTTCAAGCTTCACTGGCTTCACCTTTCTTAGCTCTGCAATACCAGGCACAGAGGAAAGAATTCCTGGCTACTTGATCAGCCTCTCTGCAAAGAAGGGCTGGGGCCAGCAGGCAGTGCCTTTGGTTCAGTGAGGACCCTGACATTTAAGGAAAGAGCAGCCCATTTAAATCCCTGAATCTTGGCAAGAAACTAAAGCAACCTCAAGGCCCAAGAGGAGGAGACAGATTGAATTGTGAGACATAACACCCAAAAGCACATTCACATGATGGAATTATATATTGAAGAAGAATATTAAATGACATGGGGAGATGTTCATAATAAATTAAGGAAATGTTGCTGTAAAGTAGTTTATATAGGGGCTGGCCCCGTGGCATAGTGGTTAAGCTCGGTGAGCTCCTCTCTGGCAGCCTAGATTTGCCAGTTCGGATCCTGAGTGTAGACTTACACCACTTGTCAGCCATGCTGTAGTGGTGACCCACAAACAAAACAGAGGAAGATTGGCACAGATGTTAGCTCAGGGCAAGTCTTCCTCACCAGAAAAAAAAAAAAAAAGTATAGGGCCAGCCCCGTGGCTTGGTGGTTAAGTGCGCGCGCTCCGATGCTGGCGGCCTGGGTTCGGATCCCGGGCGCGCACCGAGGCACCACTTCTCCGTCCATCCTGAGGCTGAGTCCCACATACAGCAACTAGAAGGATGTGCAGCTATGACATACGACTATCTACTGGGGCTTTGGGGGAAAAAATAAATAAATAAAATCTTAAAAAAAAAAAAAAAAGTATATATACTATGAATTCCTGTCTTTTTTAAATAATTGATTTATAAGGAAAAAATAGAAGGAAATAAAAATTGTCAACAATAAATTCTGAGTCGTAGGATTATGGGTGTTTTAAATTTTTTCTTTTCTAAACTTTATACAATAAACAGAATATTTTTTAATATAAAGTTATAATTAACTAAATATGATATAGCATTTAGAAAACAACTCCACTGGACAGAAATTGTGACTACTTTGTTCATCACCACAGAAAAACAAGCATTTAAAGAAATGTGCTTTTTCCTGAGCAGTAGGGTAAAGAATTTGAAAAGGGGAAGGTGCCTCTTTTCATTTTCTGCAAGTTTCCTCCTTTTTCCCCTTTATTCCACACTCCAGAGTTGTTTGTTTGTTTTCCCAGAATTGAGAGTGGAAAAAAATCAACCTGGCTCTTTTCCTGCCCCAGGATGCTAACGTCGTCGAGACTTAGAGTAGGGAAACTGCACAGAGTTCCGACTCCACAATACCAACAGCCCTGGCCTGCCAGTGGATCTGCATCCTCTTTGGCATTCACTTCCTGACAGTCGCCTCTCGGGGTAGCAGCAAGATAACGGGAAATTCCTGTCTTATATCCTCTGCAGGAGTCCAGGTCTCCACTTGAGCAGAAAAGGGGAGGAAAGCGCCAAGCCCAGACTTGCTTGAGTTCTTAAAAATAAGAGTACTCATAAGTAGTTAAACACTTCACAATTATCATGACCATAACTGTTAAGAATAACCACCATTTACAGAACCCTTTCCATATGCCAGGTACACACTGCATTACCTCATCTAATCTTCACATTGGCCAATTAAATATTATCCCTATTTCTCAGATAAAGACACAGACTAAGGTCTAGCAATGTGCCTAAGTTCCCAGAGCTAGAAAGTGGCAGATATAAGGTGCTTCAGAGATTGCAAAGGTATTTCAAAACAGCCTCTGTTATTCTTCACACTGCTCTGTGAGATGAGGATTCTGTTTTAACTTGTGAAATTAAGGGACAGATGGCTTTAAAGTAAAGGTCTCCATGGCTCATTTGTAAGAGCATTTCCAGTTTTTGGTTTCAATAGAGGAGTCCTGTACTTAGCAGGTCAATGGTGGGAGCCAAACATGGGTCTATTACACTAGATTATGGGTGACAGATTTTAATTTGACCCTGAAGAAGGTACGGATTGGTGGGACACTAGATACTAGCAGCAAACAACCAGATCATGATGTGTGATGATTAAGACAAGGAGATAGTCCTGTACATGGGATATAGGACCAACTAATTCTGGAGTTTGCTGGAAGGGGAGGAAGGGAGCAACTGGCTCTGCCAGGGAAGAAAAAGGCAGAATAGCCTTGGTCAGTTGATGATGTTTTGATGCTCGGTGGACCAGCTCAACCCTAGCTGCAAAGGCTAGGGGCTCTGTGTAAATAGCTGTGAAATTATTTTGGCCAGGTACGTATGCTATCATAAAGTAGTATATTATCCAGGTCCTGAATAAGTCAATCTGCGACCAACCCTTAAAGTAACATATGTGTTAATACGGGCTTTTTCATATGCACACATAACAGAAAGACAAAGAGACAACATGGCTATAATAATTTACTGCATTTTCATTTCTTGTTTGGATGAAAGTAGGACTACACCAAAAGTTATCTGAAGTAAAGTAGTGAACTGAGACACTATGTTATTTTCATAGTATCTATACTGCTTGCTATATTAGAATTAAATTCCTCACAGTTAGTCTTAATGGAAGTTAATTTTTTTTTTTTTTTTGGTGAGGAAGATCAGCCCTGAGCTAACATCTGCCAATCCTCCTCTTTTTGCTGAGGAAGACTGGCCCTGGGTTAACATCCATGCCCATCTTCCTCTACTTTATATGGGACGCCTCCACAGCATGGCTTGCCAAGCGGTGCGTCGGTGCGTGCCTGGGATCCGAACCGGTGAACGCCGGGCCACCACGGCGGAGCGCGCACACTTAACCGCTTGTGCCACCGGGCGGGCCCCTAATGGAAGTTAATTTTAAAATTAGTAATCTTGATTTTAAAAATTATTGCTTTTTGGGGAGGGGCAGCAAAAGAGAAATCATTTTCCCAGATTTATGAATTAGCAACCTTGGATCCCTGTCCCAGCTCTCCCCCAGCCAGAGAAGTAATTCTAAATAAATCTCTTAAACTTCAGATTCCTCACCTGTACAACGAGATTCTAAAAGGCAGGTGATGTTTGATATTGTAAATGTTCTATGTGACAAGCTTGCTACGTTGTTATGTAACCATAACAACAGTAAAACTAAATCCAACCAGCAGGTGCCCTTAAGCCCAGAGTAAGTATCCCTAAATGGCAAATGCTGTAAGACTAACACTCCTGAATGGCTGTCTCTATCCACCAGAGGATGAAGTAGGGAGCTTTGATGTTATACTGTAGTAGAAAAGCTTTTCCTTCACTTTGTCCTCAATCATAAGGAGAAAAGGAAGAGCAGGCCGGTATGAGTATAGGATTTGGAAGTGGCACTCCTGGGAGTTAAGACCGGAAGCCGCCTCCTCCAGCTGCTCTGACCTGAACTCTAGTTAATCTTGTGCAAGTTAAACTCTAACTATCACTAGATGGGACTTATCACCTGCTGGGACCTGGTCAGGCCTTGGATTTGTGCTCTCCTAGAAGTAAAGGTCTGGTCTTTGGGATCTCAGGAAGAATTATCTCTACGAAGGATAAATGAGATCTAGAACTAACTACAAACACTTAGGCCTTAATGAATTCAATACATAGTGTGTCATATTTCAAAATGTGGAAGGATTATTTTTTCAAATTTACGTTTAATTATTCTGAAGACCTGCGTGGTGGTCACAAATCTACTGGATTTGCTGTGAGCATGAAACAGAAAAACTCAAAAGAGGATACTAAACACTAGGTAGGACACATTCTGGAAACGGGAATTTCCCATGAGGTCAGGCAAACATATCATTCCTTATCTTTCTCGCCCATCCAAAAGTTCTGACACTTAGACTTCAAGTCTTGCGTAGTAGTACAAGCCTGCTTAGCAGCTTAAAGGGCCTCCTGCCAGGTTTTCAGAGGCTTCTCTTGTTCAGTAATTGTGGCCTCCAAATTTATAACTCTCCTCATTCCACTCCATCCTCCCTTCATCTGTTCCATAGGCTTTTAATACATTCCATTCATCCCTTGTCTTCTCCAACCAAAACAGTGCCAGGGAACTGCCTAAGGGGAATCCCCATAAAAGTACAGGGAGAAAAGGAGGATGAATTACTGCCCATAAATCGGGCACTTGAAAGGCTTTTGCTTTAATCACGATTTAAGACTTAGAACCACGAGGAAAGCAGGAGCCTTCCTCTGCGAGGACTGTCCACCTTCCTCCTCGGGTTGAAGTTTCCCATGAGTAAAAGAAGGCATCACCTCATCACTTCCAAGATTCCGCCGACACGTCTCTACATTGGCAGGTACTTGCCTTACGACGCGAAACGCTTTCTGGCACATCGACCGCTTAAGAGCTCCCCAGGCCGCTCTATTGCCGGGACAACGCTCCTGGTTTTGTTTTTCTTCTTCCAGGCCCAAGCCCGCCCACTGGAGTCGAAGCCAGCTTCTTACTGGTCCAGGAGTGTGTTCGTCTCCTCAGCGAGCCAATCAGAGTCTCAATTTCTACCCCAGGGATTTGGAAAACGGAAAAGACCTCGACCTGTTCCTGGGTGTGGGACGGGGTCATGAATGAGTGACAGTTCGACCCTCCAATAGGCAGCGCGCTACGACCTGCCCCTTCTGGCTCCCGGCTAGAAAAGAGCGTCTATGCCGGCAGCAGTGATGAATCGCAGGAGGTGCTGGCTGCTCGGTGGCTGCGAGGAGCGGCAGCTACTGGTGGCCTCTTTGTAGGTGAGTGGTTTTGTTTTAGAATGTTGCCGTTGCGAACGTTTCCATTTTAAAATGATGTGGTGGTTTATTTTGGAGTGCGGGAAGGCCAGTTCCTTGCCTCTCCCGGTTCAGTCTTGGGTGGGTATCTGGCGCTCGCTCGTCCGCCCCTCCAGCCCTGACCCTCACTTATCCCCAGGTCCCTCTCAGCTGCCCTTCCTCAGGGAGTCACAGATCTGTCAGCTGAAGGGAGGACTCCGCCTTGGTGGTGGTGTCTTGATGGGAAGAATAGATAGGAGTTGAAGAATAAATAGGAGTTGAAGTGATGAAGTCATCTCTCCTGGACGTCTGAGGCATGGTGTGGCAGAGCCCCTTCCATAGCAGAGGTTCTGGAAGAAAGCTCGGTGTGTTTTCACGGCCATGCCACTGTATTTAGGGCGATGGCAGACCTGGCCCTAAAAGTCTTAGTGGGTAGAAAAAATTTGAATGCCGTGAAAGGAGAAAGAAGTGAATATCTGCAATGGTTTCATGTAGGACTCGAATCTGGAACTAAATCACAGGTTCTTAGAACCACTAAAAATAAAAAAGTAAGTGTATTTTTCCTCCTTTCAAAGGGATGGGGCTGTATTAGTAGAGAAGGGCAATAGAAATGCATAATGGAAGTAAAGTTCACAGTTAAGTTTTGAAGGATAATTGGTTGTTAGCTAACTATCTATAACCCTCATTCCCCTACAGCCTCCCTTCCAAATTATGGGGGATTTATACCTTGTGACTGATACCAGAATGTTAACTGACTGAATGCAGACTTTTGGGGAAAAAAATCAAATGCTGTCTTTCACCAGTAACTACTAAGGTTTTCTGTAATGAAAGCAGAACACATGTCAATTTGTCTTTTACTTTAAAACTGTCTCCCCTGAGGCCAGGGACTCGGTTTTATCCATCTTTGTCCTGTAGCACCTCACATACCACAGATGCTCCTCAATTGGTGGTGGACTTTAGAGAAGCATAATTCAAACAAGTAGTGTAGTGGAGGGAGCTCTGAGTTGGAAGTCAAGACACCTAGGTGTCAGTCTTGAAGCTGTTGCTATTTGTGTGATCGTAAACAAATCATTTCAACTCGCTGACTTTTTTTTTTTTGTGAGGAAGATCAGCCCTGAGCTAACACCCGATGCCAATCCTCCTCTTTTTGCTGAGGAAGACTGGCCCTGGGCTAACATCTGTGCCCATCTTCCTCCACTTTATATGGGACGCTGCCACAGCATGGCCTGACAAGCATGGCTTGACAAGCAGTGCATCGGTGGGCGCCTGGGGTCCGAAACCTGGGCCGCCAGCAGCAGAGCATGCTCAATTAACCGCTGCGTCATAGGGCCAGCCCCTCAACTCTCTGACTCTTAATTTTTGATCTTTAAGAAGAAGATGTTGCATTAGAGTATTGCCGAGGCCCATGCCTGTCTTAAAAGTCTTTTACAATAAAGATGACTAGACATTTTCCACCACAAGTACATATGCTAAATTTCATTGCAGTGAGTTCTGTACCAATCTGTTAGCAGCTAAAAGTTCCCAGCTGCAAGGGTAATACCCGTTCTTCTGTGTCCATATTTAAACCAAACTGAACCAAATGGATCATTGTAGAAAATTTGGTCATTGTAAAGAGTAACCGTTGTACAAAAGTATATTGTGGCAGAAAATGTCAACCTTTATTCCATCACACAGAGGCAGCCACTGTTAGTATTTGGGTAGATCTTTCAGTCTCTCTTCCTCTTTTGCCTCCTACTGTTGGTTGAGATGAAGTGGCACATTTCGTTTTGAGTAATGACTAATACATCTAAATTCACCCATGCCTTCATCTTTGTGTGTCTGGTGCCTGGAGGACGGAGAACACACAAATGTTTGAACTGGTAGGTCTCTTGAACAGCCTTGGAATGAAATCTGCTGTGGGGATGTTTATATGGGGAAACAGGACTAAAAGTTTTACTTAACAAAACTCACTGAAACTTGGCCACAAATATGGAAAAAACATACTTTATAAAATGTAAATTAAATGTTAGCTACTTCACCTAAAGCATTTGGATTGTAGAATATTGCTGAACATTTGGTATGCTTCCAGGACTGTATCTTACCATATATTCCCCACCCACCCAATGCACACACACAACATTTGATTGCATTCCTCCTTCCACTACCTAATTTAACCTTTTCTCTTTACTCCCACTCTCATTTTACTTTATTCCCAGCTGCTCAGACCATCAGCAAGATAGGATCACTTTCAGGGGCCTGAGGTCTGTGCCAGTCTTCATGTGTTAGTCAAAGTCTGCCCCATTCGACATAGAATACTTCCCACTCTTTGGTGTGGTGGTTCATCATAATCTCATTTTTAGTCTTCTTAATAGCCCCTTGAGAACAGTAATTTCATTATGTTCATCTTTATGGTAAGGAACCTGAGGTCCAGAGAATTTAAATAACTTGGTCAAAATCACCCTGTCAGTGAGTAGCAGAGCTAGGACTAATGTCCAGTTTTCTTGACTTCACACTTTTGGGATTTGGTAGAAACAGTTTGTGTTGATAAGAGCTACAACCTTAGGGGAATAAGTAACCAGAGATAGGAAGGAGGTGTCATGAGTGGGTGTGGTGCACATCGGTGATGCCATGCAGGCTGGAACAGGCAACATGCCCCAGGCAAACACACATCTCATTACGCATGTATATCTCTTCCCTGTGAATAGGGGTCTGCCTGCTATGGTTTGTCACTCTTGTAACAAGTAATCAGTAGGGGCTGTTAGTAGATGTCAAGTTGGAGAATGACAGGGTGATAGTGCCTGGAAAACAACTGTGAGTGATAGCATTTGCTCCTGGTAAAGAGGTGTCTTGTACTGTAAATACAAATGGAAAGTTACTGTAAAGCTTTAGAAAGAGTAATAGATGACGGAACACTAGGCACTTTTAGATATAGTCATGTTTGAACTTTTTTTTTTTAAATGATCTCTTTTTTTTTCTCTGAGGAAGACTGGCCCTGAGCTAACATCTGTTGCCAATCTTCCTCCTTTCTTCTTTTTTTTTTTCCCTCCCCAAAGCCCCAGTAGATAGCTGTATGTCATAGTTGTACACCTTTCTAGTTGCTCTATGCGGGACACCACCTTAGCATGGCTTGATGAGCGGTGCATATGTCCGCGCCCAGGATCTGAACCAGCAAACCCTGGACCGCTGAAGTGGAGTGCGCAAACTTAACCACTTCACCACCAGGCCGGCCCCCAATGTTTGAACTTTTAATATTGAGTTTAATTTGGGGGAAGGCACGTTCTGTTACGACTCTAAGGATTTCATTTCCCTTAATAACTGTTCCTTTTTAATTCGTCAGAAATATGGTTAACATCTCTTTTTTCTATCCTCAAATATAGCCAGCCTATTTTTTATAGAGTTAGATTCCTAGCAGTAGGGGTAAGTGTTGCTCAAAGCTATGCAGTGAGGATTTGGACCAAGGAAAACATCTGAGCAGTCTAGGGTAGTATTTGAATATTTAATATTTAAGGGTAAGCTTGGGATCAAAGTGACTCCGGCTCTGTATCCCTTATTTTATATTACTTCAATATTGTGTCACTGATCACATTTCTTAATTTTTGGAAACAGAAAACTAAGTCTTTAGGCTGGTCTTTATCCTGTAATTTTCCCCACCTGTGCGTGAGTTGTTATACTAGAATATTAGACGTTATTACTTTTCAAACACCCCAGGAAGGGAGGAAACAATGTCCTAGGAGCATTAGTTTGGAAGACAGGACTAGCCTCAGTTATGGTGGGAGGGGGAGAGGCATGTGAAATTATATGGTTTAATGAGGGACAGGAGTGGGAGGCAGCAGCAACATTGTTACACTCCATTTGTTGAAACTTCCTAGAGATTCTGGAAATACTGTAGCAGTAACCTCAGTAAATGCAATGCTTTGTACATGCACCAGTCCTCTATCTACCTATCCTTTCCATCCTTGCCTTGCCTAAAGGATGCTAATTTTGAAACATAACTTCAATTTTATGGTGGCATTTATGGAAAGAATATTTTTTGTTCTATAGCCAATTGAGATGGAATTTCTATCCATATTTATAGCAAAAGGTCTTTGAAAGTATGTCACCTGCAGAGTGTGTTTCCTTTGAATCACCTATTTATTGCCAAGGCAATTATGTAGCACCTATTCCTGAGCAGGTATACATTCACCTAAGTGTGAGGCACTGATTGTGACAATTTGCAAAGATGTCTAATAGAAGTCAAGCGTGTCAAAATAACAGATTATATTTTTGAAGTTGATTAACAAGATGCATAATTTTTTTCCCTATTCTATCTTGAACTCATTATTAAATAATTCAATTAAGCAAAAGTAAACTACTCAGATTGCTTTGAATGTGCTCAGTATTGTCTTCTGTGAGAGAGAAAAACAGTTATAAATGGGATTCCATTACTTAAGGTACTTGCAGTTCTGGCCAAGAATAAAATCAGGTGATTTAATAATTTGGGGATTATCCCATGACAGGATGCTTAAAGGTTCAAAATGCCGATGTGGTTAGTAGATCTGAGTATGGTATCCAGCTAGACCCGGGATTGGCAAACTAAGGCTTTCTGGCCCACTACATGTTTTTGTACAGCCCACAAGCTACGGATGGTTTTCACATTTGTAAGTTGTTGAAATAAATACAAGATTTAACAATATTTCATGTGCATGAAAATTATGAAATTCTAATTTCAGTGTCCATATATAAAGCTTTATTAGAACACAGCCTCATTCATTTATGTATTGTCTATGGCTGCTGTCAGCTATAATGGCAGAATTGAGTAATTGCAGCAGACAACGTATAGCCCACAAAGCCCAAAAAATTAACTATTTGGCTAGTTACAGAAAAAGTTGCCAACATCTGAGCTAAGCTATAGTGTCTCTCACATTCATCTCCTTCATCCCATTTCAGCAGCCATTATCCTGGTCTAGGTCTTCATTATATGTTACCAGAATTATTGCAAAACCTCACAAGTGTTCATATCTCTGGTT